CATAGAGAGACGGATTTAAAAAACAAATTGACAAGAAAAACCCAAATGTGTTTCAAGCCTGCATAGAATATCACTCGAAACAGAAAATCTGCGGCTTTAAATGAGGAAAACCTCACTTTATTAGGAAATTTCTGGGAGTTTTCAAGGTTTTTTTCCGGCACTGAATCCCACGCAATTGATCGTTGCAAAACATTGAAAAACCACAAATTTCTGAATGCGGCCCAAAACATCACTCGAAAGAAAAAATCGGCTGCTTCAAATGAGGAAAAATTCACGTGATTAGGAAATTCTTTGGAGTTTCCAGGATATTTTCAGTTACTAAGGGGAAGCGATTGACCGTTGGTGTAGATAGACGGGTTTAAAATAAATTGTCAAGGAAAAACCAAAGACTTTTCAAGCCTGTATGGAATATCACTCGTAAGAGAAAATCTGCGCCTCTAAATGAGAAAAACCTCACTGTAGTAGGAAATTTTTGAGAATTTCCAGTCTTTTTTAAGTTACCAAGGTGAGGCGATTAGCCGTTGAAAAAGACAAAATTTTCAAAAATCCCCCAATCCAGCAAATAACTCCAAAGCGAAAATCCGCTGGTTTAAGTGTGCAAAAACTCACTTTAACAGGAGCTTTCTGGCAGTTTCCAGGAATTTTTCAGTAACGAAAAGGTAGATTAATCTCATGTGACCATCTTTTTCTTCTGATTTTTTCACTCTTCTAACTACCGTGTCTCCAATAACAGCACGAGCGCAATGAAAGAAAATCCATAGAAAATACGACTTTAACTTCCCATTAACGCCTGCATTTTGCCTTCGGTTGAATTGATGAAGAATCGCTTTTTTTCCGGCCAAATCAAATCAGCTATTGTGAATTCAGGAAAAACCAGTCTGCAAACTTCCTACTCTAAAACGAATCCGTTCTTCAAAGTAAAACTTTCATTGGGTTTTTTTTTGCTCAAGAAATATTCAAATCATGGCGAAATGGATTTGGTTGCGAAACATCGGTGGGTCCCAGGAGAGGAAAAAAAAGCGAATGAAAACACCAAGTCGTCGCGTGTGGCCTCCATGGGTTCACTTTGACCATGACGACATTGGCATGCCCATGTCTGGTCGGGCGGCCACGCGAGGTTTGCGGTACCATTTCTGGCCTCGACCAAAATACACCTCGACTACTGAGAAATGCAAATCTTGGATACTTAAAGCGGTTCCAATGCAGCCCCATCGTTCCATAGAATGGAACTTTTTTCGGTGACTTTCATCTGCAAAAGTCGACCCCACAATTTCCTCAGTTAGTGACTTTTGCGGCGCTGATGGGTG